GCCCCCCCCGCTGCCCCCAAAACCTCTCCAAACCAGACCGTCTCTAAAAATGCTAACAGGCAAGGACAAATGACAGTAGTATTAATCAAAGCATTGAATGCAGAGTAAATGTGCATAACAACTATATATGCTGTACTAAAAGTCAAACCCTGCTCAAGAAGGGGGGCCCATCAGAGAGTCAAAGAGGGGCCCCTCCCCCGGTTCGGTTCGATTGTTCTGTAGCTTATTTAGCTATTTATTTTCCCTTTCCCTCTTACTCCATTTGTATTTTATTCTGTGTAAATTATATCCCACCATTATTCTTTTCTGCTCGACAACAGCAGACGGCCGTCCACTCACGCTCACTGCCAATGCCGACATAAAAGGGAAGCCGAGACTGCAGGCTCCCGAGGTACATACATCTCGTGGCTGTCTCGTTAGCCGTCTCATAGAAAACGGCTAATTAGATTAGCATTAACTTGGAGCAAGGAAAGCTGCTTCCGGTGTACACCCAGACACCACGGTTCGCCGTTGACTGTTTCTTTCTTCATGCCCACAACAAGAATGACAGAAAAGGCAGCAGCAGCAGATACACAGGGGGGTGCCCCCTATGCGCCATCCCCCAAAACGACGGACCTTCCATCGCATGTAGGGGGGCCCTCAGGGCGCTATGCGCTTCTCTCCTTAATAGTCACTGCAGCGGTCATTCTGGTTGCGTTGTTGTCTGCTGCCACGCATCATTTTGCTCTCCCCCTCGTCTCCCCTGTAGACGCCCCAGCGGAGGAATTCAGCGAGGATAGAGCCAAGCTGTTGCTGCAGCCTGCAACGCGGAGTGTTCGTACACTCGGCAGCTGTGACAACGAAGTCACAATGCCGATGCTGCTGCACTCGTTTGTGCTGCAACAGCTCCTCAAGCTCTCTTACGTACCCCAGCCAAGAGATGTAGGGGCTAGGACTCCAGCGGCAGAAGCGACCGGTGCCGCATCGCATGCAGCTGCAGGAGAAGCAGCAAAAGAAGAAGCAACCGCAACACCGGGGCTAGCAGCAGCTGGAGCAGAGATGCAGGCAGTGGTTGGGCGCGTGAGTTATGTGCTGCTGGTGACGCACAGGCCGCGGGGAAGTGCAGAACGATCAACAACAGGAGAAACTTCAGCCTCAACTGAAGGGGTTTCAGCAGCAGCAGCAGAAAGGAGAGCAGCAGCAGCAACAAGACTGAGACGCATAAGTCCTCCAGGACAGGTGACTGATACCGAAGTATGCCTGTGCGGCGTGGCGCAGCAACACCATCTGCTGCTGCAGCAGACGCAGTACCACAGCGCAGCAGTATCAGCAGCAGCGGCTACGGGATTTGATAAACTGTTGCTGCAGCAGACTCAACAGGAATTAGAGCCTGTCTGCAGCGACCAACAGCAACGCCAGCTATGTGAAGCAGCAGTGAGGATAGCAGCAGCAGAGGACCCCTTCTCTCCGTCGGCCGCAGCAGGAGCGGTTGCTTCCTTTGAGAAATGGGAAGCAGAACCAGCAACAGCAGCAGCTGGTGCAGCACATCCGGAGACGTGGGGGCAGCTGGAGTGTACAGACAGCCCCCGCGTGTTAGATGCAGCTTCTTCTAGTTTTGTTACTGGAACATTCATCCCCAAAGTGCAGTGCTTTCGTGTAACGCGGCATTTCCTGGCTCCGCCTTCAACTGTCTCTGCTCTGGTTGGCCTCGCTCTAAAGCAACACGAGCAGCAACAGCATCAGCAACAACAGCAGCAACACAAGCACCAGCAGCAGCAGCAGGGAGGTGGTAGTTTGGCAGCTTCTGAGGCTGAAACGTTGGAGCGGGCGAGCGTGGATTCTGAGCAAGTACATAGTGATACAGTGGTGGAGGGGCTGCAGCATTTGCTGCGGGTGTTGCCCTTTTTGGCTCGAGAGGAAGTAGAGAGCAGTTTCTCTGCTGCTGCTGCTGCTGCCGATGCAGCAGCAGCAGCTGGCTCTGGCATCCTGCATCACCTGATGGGCTCCATCTTAGCTGTGGATGCGGGATTTTGGAGAGGGGCTGCTGGGGGGTTTGCTTTAGACTATGGGGGGCTGAGGACTGCGCTGTATGGAGGCCCTGCCAACTTCACCTTAGAGATCAAGCCTCTCCGGTTCTCTGCTGGTGGCAGCTGTGCTGTCTCGAGAACCCCTCAGGCAAGCAATGCTAGCTATCTATTGGGGGCCCAAAGCCACCCAAAGTGCTCGCTGGGGGACCCCAACGACAATGCGCATGCAGGAGCCGACTTGCAGGGTAACCACACCACGGCGGGAAGGACAACTGTTGCTGGTCCTGGTGCTGCAGCTGATTCTGCTGCTGCACTTATGCTCGCAGCGCACTATGACTCAGCTCCGTCTTCCCCTGGCATTAGTGACGACCTGGGGATGTGCGCTGTGGCGCTGGAGGTGGCGAGGGCTGCGGTGTACAGACACCTTAGAACTGCTAACAGACGCCAACTGACACTATGGGGCTTGCAAAAAGACCTGCAGCAAACTCATGTAGACGAATCCCTTGCTGCCCCCCTCATTGTGAACCTCAACGGTTGGTCTCTGCAGCTTACAATTAGCGTTTGTAGCAAAAGCGCTTAGGGCGTAGAGCGCTTAGGGCTGTGAGGTGTCCAGAAGATCTCAGAAACAGGGAGAAAAACAGTGAATTAACAACAGACAGCATCTTCGCCCCTGCATGCAGCAGTCCGACACTACACGGGGCTGGATTGGCTCGTGTCGGCTACTGAGAATTTGTGTCGGGTTGCAAGCCAGCTCGCCTCTCAAGGGTTTTGTCTTTGGGAAGTGGTGCTTACGGGCATATGGTTTAGAGTTTGTGTTTTCGTCATGGATCTGTACGTATTTGGGTCTGTCTCTGTGTGGTGTGTGTGTGTGTGTGTGTGTGTGTGTGTGTGTGTGTGTGTGTGGCTGGCTGGTTCTGCAGGGGCTGAGGAAGTGATGCTGCTTGCTGCGCATGCATTTGGTTCACAGCACCCGTCAGCACGTCGCGTTCGTGTTGCGGTTAACTTGGAGGCCTCCGGGTCTCGGGGAGGATCCTTTTTGCTGCAAGTGAGTACTTCAACGTCCTTCTTGTTGCTTCTCGCCTAAAAATGATGAATCTGTGGCTGTACCGACATAGCGAAAGTCTCAAGCAGTTAACCGCATGCTCTTTCCACGCCGCGCACCCACCGTGGGGCGCGACGTACACTGCATGCATGCAGGTTGTACTGAGCCCCCACGAAACAGGCTGTACAGACACCTAGAAACCGGTGCATGCGTGCGTGCGGATACATGCTAGCTGCGATGCGTGTGCCACTTGTGGAGTGTGTTCTCTCGAATTGCATCTTGAGGGCGTTAAAGTGGATGTTTGCTTGCGGCCGGCGTATTGTATGGTCTCCGTTTTGTCCAGAAATACATGCACTTTAGAATGCTTGCGTCTATAGAAACGAGTCTGAAAGCGCTGAGGTGCTGCAGATGCCGCGCCCTCTGGCGAGAAAGCTCCTGGAGGCCATCGCCGCGCTGCCTTCACCCAACGCACTTTCTCTGGCATCAGATGTCTGGAATTCGGGGCAGTTTCCTGGGGAGACAGACTTCAGGTGCGTGAGATTTAGACGAAGGCCGCATTAGGACCAGGGTCCCCAGACAAGTAGCCCCGGGAGAGTGGCTCCAAGAACAGGTGCCCCCCAGACAGAGACTTCCCAAACAGTTGCCTCGAAAAGAGACGCCTGCGAAGCGTTGACCTGAGGAGAAGGGACTTTCGGAGACGTTCCCGCATCTACAGCTACTGCTATCGGGGGCTCTTACAGCTTAAACGGCGTTCTTTGATTGGTTGCTGCCGACTCTCTTTAGTACTAATGCAATCCCGGGGCACGGAATTGCCTGCTTAACGAAATGTTTGCATGCTATTTTTGCGCCTGATGCTGGAGACTATTAGGTTTTTACCCTCCGGTTATGACGCGGGGTTGTGTTTGAATTGCATGGGTTTTCTTGTGCTGTTCCATGTTACCTTTTTTTCAGAGTTTGGGCTGAGGTGTTGGGGGTAGAAGGGGGGCTGGACTTGGCCTGGATTGGGGAGGGGTCAACGTACCACACATCCAGAGACGACTTGAACAACCTACACAAGGGCTCGCTGCAGCACACAGGCAACACCGTGCTGCTCTTGCTGCAGCAGCTGCTGAACGCCACCGCTGAGCTTACAGAGCCTTCGCCAGAAGCTCAGGAGCAGGATGCCCCCGAAATTCCCTTCTACCAAGACTTTCTGGGCATGGTGCTGCTGGTTCTGCCTTGGGAGGCGTTTTCACCGCTCGCGGCAGTCGCCTGTGTGATGTTAGTGTTGAATTATAAACTGTATCAGAGCGTTCTCGGTGTACAGACCTCACTGGCTCTGGTGACACTCAGCTGCTTGGCCTTTGGATGTAGCTGCCTGGCCGCCGCTGCTGCAGCATGCGGCTGCTCTGCTCTCGGCGCGCTGCTGCTGCAGCTGTATGGGCAACTATACGTACACTGGCCGCTTGCTGCCGCCATTCGGGGCTTTCTGGCGTTTGGTGCGCTGACCTGGTGCTGGGACACAATTTTCTTCCGCAAGTGGGCTGGCCGGGCTGTTGCTGTCGTTGTTATTGGTGGGGTTGCTAGGGCTTTGGCGGTGGCTGATGTTTTTACTACTGCTTTTCTTAAGTGCTGCTGCTGCTGAGTGCTGCTGCTATGGCTCGTCGTATTCAGCAGGCAGTACTCCTGCATCGGATGGCTCTCTTGCGGACGGTTCCCTCTCTGCTTGTGCAGGCTGAGTCGGCGTTTTGCCTTCAGAAACGACCCGCTGATTTGCATGCATGCAGCAGGCCAGGCTCCCCTCCTGTTTCTATTGTTTCTTTGTGTCGTTCTGCACAAACTGCGTGAGTTTGCAGGGGGAGCGATGGTGCTTTGTCGTTGACTTCAGCAAGTACTGTCCTGTGCCTTTTAGTTCAAGAAATGCAACTAAAGAATAGTCTTGCCCTATCTTCCCCTGCTTGTTGTTCAGATTTCTTCGCTTCCTTCTACCTACTGTTGTTGCTGCTGGGACTAGTCGGCCCACGGGTGGTTCTGCTGCTGTTCTGGCACATGCGCAACAACAGCAGCAGTACCGAATGCAGCAGCAGAGGCTGGAGTAGAGCCCAAACTCTTAGAACATTGTCAGGAAGAGGTTGCCTGTTGCAGCTTGTAGACGCATTGGGGGGTTTTATACCTTGTGTTTTTTTATTCCAGGTGCGGCCAACCTGCTGCACCTTTCTGTGGTGTTTCGGGGGTTCTCTTCGGACTAGTGCCATTCCAACGCTTCCACTTAGTTGTGACAACCGTACACAGTTCAAATAAACTAGAAGAGGGTTGCCATAGGCCCTAATAATGCACGCTGCATGCAGCTATGCAAAGAAGCAAAGGCCGCAGCAAGCAGCTGGTGTAGAGCAGTTTCTAGTTTAGGCGGCACGAAGTGGATAATGAGCTACCAGAAGATGTGGATTCGGTGTAGCTACTCTTGACGTTTGTTCGGAGGAGGTGTTGCCCCGATATGACCCGGGGGCCCGCATGCAGGGGCTAGGGTTTTTGGACGTAGAGCATTTCACAGCTCTTCAGTGAATGTTAATACAATGCCTGAACGTTCTGAACAGACTTCAGGCGACGCATTGCTTGTTTGGTTGTGTCGATGACTTAGGGTTGGGGATTTACCTGTTGTTGTTTAACGCTGCTGGGGCATGGAGACTTTGCTTGCTTTGTCTCAGGCCCACCTTGCGCTCCTCGATGGCACCAGCGGCCCCGCCGGTCGTATGGGGGAGTCTCTGCTTCAGACAGATTTGCTGTTAAATTTCGGGGTTTTGCTACCGGTGCTGGTGCTGCTGCCTGCGGTTCTCTGCCCCTCTATCTTCCATGTGCTGCACTGGTTCAGGGGGGGCCCTTGCCGCCCGAAGGCAAGTGCGGCCTCTTCCTGCGTCCAAGAGACATGTTGGCGGGGTAGGGGCATATGGGCTGTTGCTGCTGCACTAGCTGCAGCTGCTGCTGTTGCTGCTGCTGGACTCAACAGTTCGCCTGTGTTCCCGCCGCTTGTTGACCTGCCTGTACCGCAGCAGCTTCTGCATGGGACCGAGGGACCTGCTGCTGCTGAAACGACGGATATTAGGCACACTGGGGGGGCTGTTGGCCAGCTACCGCGTCCATCAGGAGACAGTCTCGCATTTATGAGACAGATCCACCGCCAACCCAAGCCACATCGGTCTCTCTTAGGCCTGCTGCCCTTTGGCCTCCCCCATTACTTGCTCCCATCTGAGGAATTCCCCTTCTCCCCAGAAAGGCCGCTGCAGGTGCACTTTGTTATTTTTAGACGCTCAAAGGTTACCGCATTCTCCAGTCTCTGCAGCAGCAGCTCCAGGAACAACAGCGGCAACCCTGACAAAGTGCTTGGCGGCAGCTGCAACGAGAAAACCGAGCAGCTCAACCAGCAAGCGTGGCTCGCCACCACCCCATCAGAAGCACCAACACCAGCAGAAAGTGCCGCTTGCCTTGCCCCTGAGTTGGAGCCTTTCTCTCAAATGCACCATGTCCCGCCGCTCTCGCGCCACTCCACTCAAGGCGTTGCGGTGATGGGGCTAGGACCCCAAGTGTTTTGGAATCCGGCGTTTGCCGACGCTCCTTTGGTAATATCTGCAATGCGCAGAGCCGTGGTGGCGGCCGAGGAAGAGGCAACGACAGCATCGTCTTTTGCATCTTTGAGCGGAACCCAGCAAGCCTATTATTCCCACCATACCGCTAATGCAAGGTTCCAAAAGCATATCAACGGCGCTGCGGAGGCAAATTCTGCTAACTGTGCAGGACAGGAAGGTGCTCATGCAGAATCTGGCGAAGACGTTGTTGCATCTACAAGAAGGAATAAGCATAGCGGTTCTGATGAGAATGAGGCTTCGAGATACTGGACAGGAAAAGCGGCACCCGCATTTCTTCTCGTGGAGGAATCCCCTTCAGAGAAAGCCCCTTTGACCCTCGCTCACCTCCACAGGCTGAGCACAAATCGCATGCATTGGAGTCTCTACACAAATGCGCAGGTGATACGACCAAACTAAGGAATGTGCACTGCACGCTGCCTCATGCGTCGATTCGTGGCAGTTGGTGCTGTCATTGTGCCTTGTGGTGAAAGCCTGGAAATAACTAGAAGCTCTTGTGGAGATGCGCCCGCGGCAGCAGATGGCTTATTTTGGAAAGATAGGTGATGATATTATGCAGGAGTTGGTGTAACGTTCCTTCTTCAGGCTTTTCTCCCTCCCCCCAGACCCACGCTGACAAGCGGGGTGTTTAGTCCTGCGCTCCGAGGCAAAGTGGACGTACACTACGAGTCCGTTTGGACACTTCTAATAACTCCTAATGGCCTGCGCACACGCTGCTCCTTGGCCTCTGTTTAGGGCTTTGTTAAAGCAGGCGAACGTCTTGCTGCTTCCCTGTCTGTATTCCCTAGGGTTCTGCTCGTCAGCGACACAGAATTTGCACACAGTGGAAGACTAGAACAACATATACGAAGTGAAAGAATCGATGACGACAGGCCATGAGACTACGGCTGTTACGTGATGATGAGAGTAGCCAAATGCTGCTAACACTGCGGGGCAAGGCTTTGTTTGCTGGACGATGGCGAAGCATGTGGCTGTTAGTCTCTTGTACTGTTTTTTATGTTTGCAGCGAGGCGACAGAAGAAACGCGCCTGACTCTGCTCATTGGAGGTGCCTCGCTGTTGGCTGTGGCGCTTCCGGCCTCTGGACTTAAACGGTGGAATTTGGAGCGCCAGGCACCTCTGAAACGGCTCAAGCAGTGTGACTGTTACATGGTTACTTTGGCCGCCCCAAAGCCTCCAGTTATGACGAAGCTCGAATTTTTCTTTCATGGGAACGTACCCGTGAGCCTTCCTGACAGGGCCGTTTCATGCTTCCTGTGTGGGTGGAGTGGAGCCCGCCAGCGCGAGCACCCCTACAGCAAACTGGCAGTTTGAAAGTTTTTTGATGGGGGAGGTACAGATGTGAGCGCATGATGAAAGGCAGTGACGGGATGCACTTCTTAAACAGCCTAGGCTGCAAGCTTCAATTCAGACGTTTGGGTGGCGAATGTGATCAGGTCCGCTTCACAACGCGTTCAGGTTTATGCGACATAACGGCACCGAACACCGACTGCGCAAAAACGCCGTTTTTCAGCGCTTTTCAGAGTTTTCTTGTAGGTTTTCCTCATCGTCAGGCTATGGATGAAGGGCCTTTGACCGTCGAATCCGCGGCAAGAGGTGTTGAGGCTGGCGGCGGTATTCTGTATTCGGGTGAAACATCTGAGGCGAAGAGCCCCAACAGCCGTTTTGACAGTTTTTGGAACAGGCTAATCAGTGAGCTGCCCCCACATATAACTGCTGCGGGCAGCTATGCGGATGCTGCGGAGTGGATTTTGCCACGTGCACCGTTCTCCGCTGAGTTTGCTTTCGATTGACAGATGGATGTACTGGACCTTGGTGACTTTTTTCTGTTCGACTTTTACCTAGTTGCCACGGCCAACCGCCTAGGCTTATGCAGGATCGAAGCCCAATGAGAGGCAGTACCTAAGCAAATCCAACACCTGGCTGTCCAGCTTTCCGGCACGTATGTCTGGGGAATACGAGCCCTAACTGCTGCTAGTATGCACCGCAGTGCCGTTAAAGGACGTATCGCGTACTCCCAAGGTGCAAGCAGGCATGCAACGCAGCTCCTAGATATATAGGCGCGCTTTTAAATTAGGTCAAAGGAAATGTTCACACGCATCTCGACGCAGTTTGCTGTTCACTTTAATCGGCGACGAAGGTAGCTAAGAACAGTTGTTTCGGGCATTCATTCATTAAGCCTAAATCCTCTGCCATGTGAGCCTCTTGCCCTCCAACCAAATTACCGTAATAATGTAGCCACAGTTTACAGTTGCTGCACACTGTTAGCGCTAAGTGATGCCACGTCAATACTGTCAAACAGCGGCTGGAGAGACGCACACTCCATGCAGCCTTGACACAAGTCGAACGGCCCCCTCTCCGACCATTCGTTTTTCTCTCCCAGTTCGAGAGGCGTCTAAGTTGTGTGTCGAATGCGTGCAGGACCTTCTCCGGCTCCGGCAGAAGCCACGGTGGTGTTTAGGGGAACGAAAAGGGGTTCATCAACATCGTGAGGAGCATTTGACTCATATGAGACTTAGCATGGGATTCGCATACTTCATGGCAGGCCCTGGAGGATGCGAAACCGCCGTGAACTGGTGGAACTTCGGCTTCATTTCTGATCCGTTCAGCCTGAGCACAGCACCGGGCACGCACAAAATTTGCAAGCACGAGAGTAAACGAAATAAATAAACGAAGGCGATGAGCTAACGACGTGGGAAGCTGTGCTAGGTACTCCTGACATACGCAGTGGGGCTTGCATACCTGATGAAAGCCCCCTTATTGCCCATTTCGTCGCAATAATTAGGAGCGCTAAACACAGTTATCTGCAGACAACAGACAAACATGAGAAGAAGCCGGCCATTGCCCCCCGCCATTGTAAATTGCAAATCAGCATTAATCTGATCTCCGTTAATATCGCTGTCATATGCGTTTTTCTATAATACCCCTCTGTTGATACCACCACCAGGCCAGTAGTACACCTGACACAGTGGATACTGGTTGGCGGAGAAGCAGAGCAAGTTGGCACATACCAGTTTGCCATCGTGATCAACTTGATATCCCTCCTCCTTCATTTCGTGGGAACGAATAACAAAGCTCAAATTGTTATCCTTCAGGAACTTAGCTGTAATGTCGGGGCCGAATTGGCATGCAACGCCTCTCTTCGATGGTGTCAACCCAGGAGCGTCAGAGGGGTCAGACCACAATAAATCCGTCATCAGCACTGCATGTAATACCCATTAATAAAGCAAAACACAGACTTAATTCAACAAGAAGGGCACGCCAATTCCCGAGAAGGAAAAGGCCTAAGAAGACCAAGTGCATAAATACCCGGAACAGTTAGGCTTCCGAGTTCCGTTGGAGGCAATGGACGAAGCAGAGCCAGACTAATCTACACCCACGGCCACCAAATGAGCGTGACCCACCGTCAGAACCTGGTTCCTTGTTGCGGTCAATCTTGCGAATGTCATCCAGGGTTACGTCCTTCTGACGAGATAGGCCACCGTGAACGACAAATGCCTTGTTATTCACCACAAAAGCCAGTGGCAACAAGCGGAACGCCTGAACCAGATAAGCGGGTAAGCAAGAAAATGCTCCTGTATAAATTTTACTACGATGGAATGCTCTATTCACCCATACCAAACAGTGTGTACTTCGCAACGATAGCAGCTCACCTCACTGAAAATTTGGTAAAGCCTCTCATCGTACTTGTATAACATCTCTCCCTTAAATCCGTACATAGCATTCATCTCGCTGGTCTCATGGTTACCGCGCGTAATGTGCATGTGGTTCGGGTAGGCCAGCTTGCACGCAACCATCGTCAGCAGGACCTGCAAGCGGTGGAGGCCCCATAACCAGGCAGCGGCTACGTTCAGTCAATCTTACGCAATGTGCACTGCTACGAATGTTGCATCGCAACACCGCAACACCATTGAACCCACAGACTATCTACGCTCACGTGAAACTCTATTTTTCGGTCTCACCTCAACTGAGAAGCTGCCCCTGTCGACTATATCGCCGTTGAAGAGATAAGGATTATCTTCAGAGGGCATTCCGTTGATCTCGAATATGTGCATCAAATCATAAAACTGTCCATGAACGTCTCCGCATACCGTGATCTCTTTATCTGCAGGGATTTCAAGATTAACTAGCGATGGCAAGGGCTCGAGAATGTCAATGAAGTCCACAGCCATTGCATACGCGTACTGCGGGTGTAGCCGGTTCTCCGGGCTGCGCAGCCACGAACAAAGAGATTCCAAGAACTTTGCATCAACTTTTCCCTTTTCATAAACGGGTCCTGTGTAGTCCGCCGTGACTGGGAACAGCTTCTCTAGACCCTCAGCGAGAACCTGCTTCGACGTTGGTATTGTCTGCTTCGTGCGAATGGCGGCTGCAAACGCCTGTGCTCTCAGCTGCTTTTTGCACTCATTCAGGCGAGAAAGAGCATCTGCATCTTTCCCGCCACGCAGCTGGCACACTCTTTCGAAATCTGCGAAATCCAATCACACATTTTGTCCCGCCCGTGGGATGTCGTCATGTTGTCGACCCTTGTCTTAGCACTGCGCAAATTTGTCCAGCAATGCACATCGTTTCGATTTGCAAGCACTTAAGTTTGCGCAAGTAGGCGAGGCAACAGTCCACAAGTCACTTGTAAGACAATTTAGGGGAACATTCACCGCGTTGTGCAGCTTTCAGGTTTCCTAGGCAAAAATAGCCCGTCCCCCGACGGTAATACCCCTTTGAAAATTTCGGGTTGAGCTCCAGAGCACGTTCTGCATCTATGATTGCAGAGCCTGTGACAACAAACAGTTGTACTCCGGCGGACGGTCATGATAATCATCTCTCTGTAGGGTTTGTAGTACATTGGGCACACACTCTGGGCCCCCATGACGGAGCAAAAATCACACCAATCAAAGAGCACAAAGCAAGCATTACCCCCACTCAAAATAATATGCGAAAGCGAAGATGCGGTGCCATACCAAAGTTTTCCATTCGTAGGTGAGCGAAAGACCTGTTGCAGAGGTAGACATGAAGCTGCGTTTCCTTAGGGTCCAGCGGTGATTCATCGATCGTATCAATTGCAGCTGAGTACTTGGAAACCGCCTCGGCATACTGGTGCTGTTTAAATAATTCATTTCCCTCGGTCTTCAAAGCCTCTGCCTTCTCGACGGGAGAGCACCCAGGGGGAGCATCGTTCTTTCCGTCGCATTCTGCGACATCGCCGTCATCCTTGGTAGGGCACGAGGTGCGTCCATCGACCGCCATTTCACTGTCTCTCCTCTTGGCTCCCTCCTTGTCTAAGGAATCTGCCGTGTTGCCACTGATGCCAGCGGAGTCGGTGCCTTCCGCCATGGGGCACGGTGGCGCTTGAGCAGCTGATTTGTCCCTAACCCCTGTCACATGTACTGCTACACAGCCAGCCAAGAGGATATTAGATAAGAAAGTATGGAAATAAACGGACCTCAGACACGAACTGCTCGCAGCCTCTACATCCGCGGGTCTGCTTTCTATGCAAAGTGAATTCAGGCAAGGGTTCCCAGACCCACGTGGCTGATAAGTCTATGGTTTCAGGAAGTAAATATTACAACGATTTCCAGAAGCTGAGGTGCATGATTGCAGATTGCCCCGGTGGGGGAAGCCCATGCATGCGCACTGTAACTCTCTCAGCTGTAGAGTCGCCCCTTCGGGTGTTGCTGGGGCGGATGTCTGTCTGAGAAATACACGGTAAAGTAAACCGAAGTTATATTGTAGCCTTAATATCGCAACTTCGGACTGAGTTGTCTCCGTGCAATTAATGAGAACTCTAATTTTGTTGCACATTCGCACGGATGTGTGTGAGTTTCTCATAGTTCGGGATTTCGGCAACACAGAGGCGGTTGGTCTAATTGGTCTAACCGTTGAGCCAAAGCACACATTATAGGCAATCGTGAAAGAATAAATGGCTCTTTGTATATTCTTCTATTCACCAACCGTGACTTCCTGTCTGCCATCGTTCCCCTCGTGTAAGTATTCCCCTCCAAGTACCCACAGGTTGGCGGACACGAAGGGCGCACCCCATTCAGTGGAAAGATGCAGTTTACCAGATTTACCAGATAGCACGCAGGTTTGGGCTGGGGTGCTGGTTTAAAAGTTCACATCGACGGAACTCTGTTGACATCCGTTCGCGAGCTTGTCACGATACAGTGAGGCTTGCTGCATGCAGCGCCCAGCTCACACCAAGTGGATGGGAATTAAGCGAAAGTTGTATGGTAGACAGTGCATTGGCCACCCCTAACGAGGCCCCTTAGGCGTTTTGTTGTCGGGTTTGCTCCAGCAGCCCCCCACAATGGTGGCTCGATGGGCAACAAAAACTGGGAGCGGAACCGGTAGTTTTGACGTAAAAAAGGAGGCAAGGGAGCTTGTCAAGGTGAGGAAAGACCCACAATGCGTTGTGAAGGTAGTGCTGCTGCCCAAACCAGGGCACTCAAGGTAGACCTTGTGAAACACGAGCATTCACGTGGTGTAGGTTGAATCTGGAGCTAAATAGGTTCAACACAATTGTGGTGAGGATGCACATGTTTACATCCTGCATATTACTGGGCTGGTCAGTGACTGTGGCAGTTGCGTTTGTACTAGACAGTTTGAGAGTTGCCTGACGAGGTAGCACGAAGAAGGATTCAAATGTGATAGGTATATGGTATGGATGCTGCAGCTAAATACTCACAATATAAAAATTCAAAGTGGCTTGATTCCGTCTGACACTTGGATTAGATGGCAAGTACACCTAGTTTGCCGCCTGCAAATTGTTGGGGCTTCGCAACCTTCAAAACCATCGATCAAAGTAGACAAGCATCTGCGCACCTTCCTCTCGCAGAAGCTGCTCAGATACTTGTCTTCTCTGCTTGGTACAATAATAGGATGCAGTACTCTTGCCAGGCTGTAAGGCTCGACTTCAGTGGCAATGTTGTGTCGCATTGCATATTCATGTAACTCTCTAGACGGTGCACCAATTGAAAACTGCTGTTGACGCATCCATGTAAAACCAATGATTGACGGTTGCAGCATTTGCTCCGGTTAAAAGCTTCCGTCTTTAAGGCAGGGAAGACGCTATCAATAAACCAAGTGCTTCGAAGTAGTGATGGACTTGGTGTATCGTTGTCTGAGAAAAAGACCACTGAGAGAAAGGCTCTAGCCAAATTACAAGTCTCGATTACAAACACCAGCAATGATACACCCCCAGTGAATGCAGAGATTTACTCGCCGTCAGTAGTGCCAAGCTCTGAGTATTATGCCGTCTGCAAGAGTCAGATTCCCTGGACAGCTAGATGTTTGCAACGTAATGGGTGCGCTGCGCCCTTAGAGCAGAAGACGGGTACAGTTCCTTAGTTGCGATTTGATTTTGCCAAGCTGCGTATGCTCCAGTATTGCCGCTTTGGCAAATACAGATTGTATCTACTACCTGCGGGACAACAGTACTACCCTATGGAACCTTGAAGCCGGTCTAGTGATTCTTTGAAACGTACAGCAAACGCTTCTGCCAGTGAAGCGGAGCAGCGCCGGCGAGTAAGAGAGTTTAGACACTTCGAGTCTTCAACAACTTTAACATCCAGTGCTCCAGTGACACGGATTGTTACTCTAGTACAAATCTCCAGCCTACACCTAAGTCCCCCTCATCACACCGGTTACTTTTCAGAGTGGCACGGCCATGCGGGTTGCTGACGCAACCGCAGAGCACGAACTTTTCCCTGACAGCCTAAGCTGCAAACAAGACTGAGTAGTTCGGCGTGGCTTCCATGTGTGCCAACACTCGTCTCTGTTCTGAAGCCCCTGCCAAGCAGTGTGACGTTCTAACAAGCAAACTACTGCATGGGCGTTGCTAACGTGTAGGTATGCCTAGTTCTGATGCTATATCACTGCAGGTTATGGAAATCACTGGCCAGAGGCAACGCATCAAGATGCCTGAAATACCCAGTTTTACGAAAACAACGTTTTGGGCAGCCAGTGCCAAGCTGCTGTTCTTGTTCTGTCATCCAAGCAGATGCTCGGAGAGCAGGGAGATGATGATCACTCCTTCCTGAACCTTCGAACCTTCGCATATTTTAACAAAAGCCGGAGAGGACACATAAATCGTCGCTTCCATATACCTACGATATATCAACCTAGACCTGCGGTTCGGGGCCACGTGCTCCATTGGCTGGCATGCTCCCTTACAATAAGGGGCATGCCACTCCAAAAGGGCACTCAGAAACAAAAGCCCTCGATTAGGGCATGAAGTGTCAAGAGTACGCAAAGGCAGCTCGACGAAGCCAAGGGAATATGCGCCCCCACGCGGATGGCAGTGAAACATTCCTCACACGTGTAGGCGCCACTCATCTATCACTTGACATTGTGTCAAATACGGTGCATGTTAGCGTGTACGGTGGCTTTTACTGACACAGCTCATTGCCTATCATCTTCCCAAGGTTGTAATTGACGGCCTGAAGGCAATCTATTCACATCCTATCAAAAGCTTTTCGCGAATTGTATAGTCCATGGCTTCACAATTCCTTCCACGTTGAAGATTAGACTGAGGATACGTTTTATTTCATAAAACGTGCCCAAGAGACGTGGATAGGCCAATGGCACTAATTAGTCCTTGTGGAAACTTCGGGAGCTAATGCAAGGCACAACACGGAGCGATCACCACAATAGGAGCAGCTAGCCCGCCAACAACCGAATAATTAGGCCACACGGCACCTTCCAGAGCAAATATTGCCAAAAGAGAAACTCCCTACCTAAACTGCCAATACTGCTGCTCATTAGTATGTTTGACCCCTGTCGTATCAGCTCGGTGAGTATATTCGGTGAACGGTGAACGGGACAGCTCCCACAGCCGATACGAGCGTCATGGCGTAACATTTCGTGTAACGTCCCCAACACGAGAGCGCATTACTAGTTAACGGAACAATACTGGCTTTTGCGCAGGAGTTTTCAAGAGAGCAGTGCCTACGGCGACCTACACGCACGTCATGGAGGAGACTGGCCCTGAGAGCCACTTTCTGCAGCACCTTCTCCTGAAGGTTCCAGCTGAACGGCGGGGGCTGCAAGGACAACGGCAGCGGCAGCAGGGCATAGTCAGTTTTGCTACAACTGATCCCGCAACTCATTTTTCGTTCTAATGCTAGAGAGGGTATACTCTGCGCGTACTTGGTGGAGGCGTTTGGCCAGAAGCGCCACTTTCTGCAGGGACAAAGAGGACAACAGCAAGCAGCAATTCAAAAACTACAGTGGATAACACTCTTCACTGGATGGGTCGAACTCTACTCTGGCGAATACTACACACGTACCATCTCCAGAAGGTCCCGGATGAACGGCAGGGGCTGCAAGGACAACGGCAGTGGCGGCAGAACAAAGCGAGGTTTGGCACAACTAATCCCTCAGAGCATTGTTTGCTTCGGTGATGGTGGCTGTCTACACTGCGCTTACCTGGTGGAGAAGTCCGGCCGTGAGCACCACCTGTTGCAAGGACAAAGAGGCAAACGGACAATGGGAATCCAAAAAAATCCAACTTTCCACGCTCTTCACTGGGTGATTCGCACTCTATACACTGACGCCTATTGCATACGCACCTGTTCCAGGAGGCATCCACCGAACGGTAAGTGCTGCAAGGACAGAGGCGCCGGCAGCAGAACAAAGAGAGTTTTGATACTGCTGATCCAGCAAATCATTGCTGGCTTGGTGCTAGAGGCAGTCTAATGTGCACGTACATAGTCGACGCGTTTGGTCCTGAGCACCACCTGTTTGGCCCTGAGCGCCACCTGTTTGGCCCTGAGCACCACCTGTTTGGCCCTGAGCGCCACCTGTTTGGCCCTGAGCGCCACCTGTTTGGCCCTGATCGCCACCTGTTTGGCCCTGAGCGCCACCTGTTTGGCCCTGAGCGCCACCTGTCTGGCCCTGAGCGCCACCTGCTGCAAGGACAAAGAGGACGAGCAAACAGCAATCCAAAAAAATACAATCGACCACGCTCTTCACTGGATGGGTCGAACTCTATGTTGACGCCTATTGCACACGCATCTGCTCCAGAAGGTCCCAACTGAACTTCATGTGCTGCATGAGCAAAGATAGTAGCACCAAAACGTAATGAGTTTGGCATAGCGGATCTGGCACAGCATTGCTTGCTTTCGTGATGAAGGTCTACGCTAGGCGCACCCATTCGACGAAGTTGCTGTGAGCTGGTCCTTCCTGCAAGGACAAGCACCATAACAAAGTGAAGTAGTTTGTTTAAAACGAAGACGACCAGGGTATTCCATTGGCCTCTATACGTCAACTGAAACGTCTAGTCTACACGCACCTGATGCTTGGGCGCCTCCTGCTGCGGTCCGAACCGGACGTACTGCAGGGAAAATCACGCTGCTCGAACACAGTAGTTACTGGCGCTGCAGCCTGTCTCTTTATTCCGTAGATTGCCCATGGTTTATGCGGATCCAACGAAAATATCTTACAGCACTTCGGTCGGCAGACATTTCTGGCAAGGAAACAGTTCTGTGGGCTGAAATCGGCGAGGGATGGATTTACTGGTGATTAAATGATTAGTTCGTAACTATCCGAAAACGTACAGCCGAGTGAACCGCTGCTCAATCTGCTCTTCAATTCATCAAGATATGGCAAGTCACCAGCTGCAAAAGGCGCACAAGTACGGGGAATAATCGTATTCATCATTGTTTGCTAATTAAACACACTGTTCAAAACTTCATGTACCAACGGGCAAAAATAAGGCGGTTATTCAAGGCCAGCTAACGCTGAGCCCAACACAACATCCCTAAATTGTTCCATGGAAGCATCACAGTCAATAAATGCATATTCGTAACGTAAGCAATTACAAGGGGTTGCACCAGGCCAGGTTTGAATCGACATGAGCACTATTCAATGCCTCAACTGCCGCGGATATCGGATCGCGGGGCCTCGTGACAGCTGCATTGGAAACAAGAGGTAATCGCGTTGCATGCAGTGAAATTAAGCAAGGTTGCTACAGTGGTCGCTGGAAACTCCGACCGAAGACGTTCTGAGATTAAATTGAATTTGCAAGCACCATTCGAGGAACTACGGATGCCAAGGCTTGCCTTGGGGTCATACAACAAGACAAAAGCCACGACTGAGCAGTCTTTGCCGAAACATTCTCACGATTTGTAGGTTGTGCAGGTCGCAGAGGTTGTGAAGGTGGTGGAGGTGGAATGTAAGATGTCGGAAGTGAAGGCGCCGGAAATGGAGGCATCGGCAGTGAGGGCGTCGGAAGTGGAGGAGGTGCTGCACAGACCCACAAAAACCACTCCTGCTTTGTTGCTTTGTTGTACAAGGAACACCCGTCACGTCCCCCATCAATAATCCAAACAGTGGACATCTAGCCCCAAAATATGGGTTATAGAAAACGAACAATGCATTAAGCTGAACGAATGTATTACGTTGGGCCTCCAGTCCCTAGAACCTTCGCGGCCTATAGGACGTGGCTACATTAAAGCGCTCCTAATGTTGATTGGCAAATTTTTGCATCCGCCTAGCAACCACTTGCTAGCTCAGTTACTCGCTCACTCGGCGGTCCCTTCAATGAAAATTCGACCCAATCAGAAACATCATACGGACCTCCTGCAAACTCCAAACATCGCGGAGAAATCAAACTGATTTCAAGCCTGCGCGAGCACTACTACGCGCATTTGTTGTAGTGACGAACTGTGTATTATAATGGGATCGTCGTGCCAGAGACGCTAAAGGTAACTTTTTTCTCCTAGAGGTACGGCCATACACAAAATGGGATCTCAATACACCAACCAATTTTGCCACTAACCTGTTCCACCTCTCCCTTCTTCAAGAGTTCCTCGAGAGCACGGAAGCCGCACGCAGAGAGCTTTCTTGAATGACGTGTAGTGCCTGGGCCCTGCCAATACCTCTTCCAGCTACATCTGCCCCCGAGAACTGGCGTTCGGTGGGAATTTTTCGCAAGTTTGGTCGAATGCCTCACCTCCCCTCTGAATCCACGACGTTCTCCCTGTTGCATCTTTTGTCGGGTGGCCTCTGAGACGACGTTGCTGACCCACAACAGATATAAGACGATAATGCAAACAGGCATGGCACCAGTTACTATGCCGTTGTTAAGGCAACCCTTAGCTGATTTTGCACGCTTGCCGCCAAAGGGCTCGGATGTCACAAAGTTTCAATTCGTCACTCATTAAGCATTCGCTACAAACTGTGAAGGCGTACCTCTTTCCAAGAAGCTTCGCGCATTTTTATTTGTACAATGGCCATATGAAAAGTTTTTGCATTTCTCTTTTCGGCCGCCACTGAAAAAACTGTACCATTAAACACCCAAAAATGACCAGCAAAATAAACTGGATATGAGCAACCCTGAAAAGCCCATACGGAGCCAAATTCTGCAATAAACGCTGCTGTAGATATGACCAGCCAATGGGATAGCCGAACCTTCTTTTCTTCCGGTCCGTGCGGAGTCCAAAATCATGGTCTCCGCACGATCCCAGTTGCTCTGGACCTCATGAGCAGCTTCCTGGACACATATTAACGCAGCAAATCTTATATTTTGGCGCGTGTGGAACGCACTTCGAAATGCACACCTGCAAGTGCCTTATTATCTCAAGGGTGCTGCACTTTTATTTGGTATGGAAAGGCAAGCTTCATCCAGACAAAACGCAAAGTGATCTCCTGTGCTCTTCTCTTCGAGACGAACCTGACGCAGGGAAACATTTGTGTAATAGCCCTACAGCAGCGAGACAAATCAAACGAGAACTCGCAAGCTCAGCAACCAGAATTGGGGTTCCCAAGCATACGCAGTTAAGATTGTAACAGTGATAGTTCGCGTTAGCGAGAATCCGTAAGGCAAGGTCTCTCGGCGAGAGGAAACATGCGGCCCATCCGAATTCGTGACTGTGTAACAAGAACGGCTTCAGGATTTGTGCATTACGAGTCCTTTCAGAGCAGCACACAATCGGTCCATGTAAACCACTGCACGCCCATAGTGTCAAGGGCTACCAAGGCACTTCACAGCAAAACATGCAGTCCAGTTTATAAGCAGGAAAATAGGGACTCACAATTACTTTGTACTTCAATTTATACAAGAGAGAGCCCACCAACAGCTTGGCTTTTTTCTCTGCCAGCGCATTCCGTGCAGCAGAACACCCCATACAACCTTTTGCACAGAACCCAGCTTAGCTACCCCCACTCAGAATGTCAGACTTCCCACGATAGTTCCTACGTTTCTGTGTTAAGGGGTCATGCCGTCTGTGCCCATAATTGACTGCGTCGTAGTTCAGCGCAGCCCATGCTGTTCTACATTCCCTATCACGCCTCCTGTCTCGGACCACTCACACTGAGCGGATGACCGTGTCTGGTTACCTTCAGTAAATTTCAGGACGTCCTGAGCCCACTCGTAGACAACCTTCGGATTAGCCTCGCGCTGCAGATACAAGCAGGGAGAGCCAACGCAACCAAGGCAGCCAGAACCGGCAGTACTAGCGATCACCTAATGATCGGGTCCATAACGTTGCCACCACCGTTCTGGTTGCTTCCACTCTTGATCCAAAGATGGCGCATAACGCATATCATACCTCTTTGCCCTCCGCATGGCGAATGATGAGCTGGATCCAATGCTCCACCGACCTTGGAGTGCGAATAACACGCGTAATACCTGTACATTGCAAAAAGAGTACAGCGTTCTACATTGATTGGGATGCTGGTGTGGAGTCCAGCAAGGAGCAGGTGAACACTAGAGATGCAAGCCAAGTCGATGACGCGCGATTCGTGCACCATGAACTTTCCGTTGGTTGGAGCCGACCCCTTTAAGATGAGTTCCATACGTACTCATCTGTCGCCCGGGAGGAAGACTGGGAATTTCTCTGGCCAAGTGAGGGCGCATCCCGCCAGTAGCTTCAACAAGGGCCTGAAGAAGTACACTCTTCGGGATAGGAGAAGGAACTGCACTGCAGGGCAGGAAGTACAGAACAATTTCCGTCAACACCCAACCAATGCTTCAAATGATCTGCCTGCAGTGGGCGTTCTCCCTACTTACAACATTGATGGCCTCCAGTTCCTGCAACTCAGCAAGCATACACAGGCGTGACCTGCTGGAAGGCAAGAGTTTCCAGGAACACAAAGCAGCTGTTCATGCAGGCTGCGGAAATTGAAATACTTATCCTACTTACAGGTCCTGCTTCTCTGCTCTGCGCATCAACTTCAGCCCGCACTACGAAATTTTCAACCTTGAACGCAAAACTGACGTCTGAAGACAAATGCACAAATAAGACGAATTGCAGCTCATCGCAGCTCCTCTATATGGGTTGTCGCCAATTCGAAGCTCTGGAGGAGCCTGTTACTATATGAGGTGTGAGCAAAGTATCCGTGATTCCGCCACGTGTAATGGAACATGTGGATTCTTTGAAGCGCTCACCGTGGCTCGAAATCAACCAGCGTTTGACTCTCCCAACTATTTGCTTAGCAATTTCTTCGCCCGGACTGGTCACCTGGTGCAGAATACAACGAAGGCAGCAAGCTAATGGCAAAGACACAAGGAGTCCCTTACCAGTATCTGACCCAGCAACGTGGCACCTGATATCCAAGATCATCAAGGAAAATTCTGCATCATCAAGTCCGAGGATATCCTAGTCCGGTAGGTGTAAACATATGGAAAATGGAATGGACGTTAAGTGGCTTTGAGTTTCCAGATTACAGTGTTGGGGATCAATCCACCCCAAAGCTTCACTCCACTAGCTGCTGGTGTTTCTTACCTCTCCCTGGCACGTCGTCAATTCTGGGGAGATTCCCGGGGCCTCTGCCAGCTGCCGAGGGGTTACACTTGCCTGTGTTGCCTGCAGTCCAATAGAACACTGCCTTACAAAGAATGCTACCGCTGCAAATGAAAGTGTCGCTGCCAGCGCAGCCCACAATACATTTGTGCGCCTAGCATTGGGTAATGCATTGCTTTGCTTGACACCACTGCGAAATATACTGGAGTGCTGGTCCTTTATTTGACCAGTTTGCACAGCCACGACATTCGACGCAACCAACAAATTGCCGTCTCTCAAGTATCCCTTTGATTCTTCTGAAAGTGGTTGAGGAGTTTGAACGATGCTTGGTCTTGCGTCCAAGTTATCGTCCCCCTGCACAATTCCCATGTTCAGGGGGCTTCAAAAGAGCCTACAATGATAGTAGGCTTCAGAGCGTAACCGTAAATTCTCCGTATCCCCCAAAGGCGAGTGAGCTTCGCTCAGATCCTCAAGAAGGCGCGGATCACAGTAGTCGAAGACAACGGAACCAAATGATCTTCCAGCCTATACGAGGGTAGGATGCGACGTTTCGTCACATCGAAACCCTAGGAAAATGGAAATAAAAAACAGGGTTTCCCTGCAACCAATATTTCTACCCGCGCTGGTGCCTTCAGAGGTAACTTAGTTGATTTTTGACTTACAGCATGGTAGTCACCGGCAATACATATGCAGATCCCACTCCACTAAGGCCGGCTACAAGAGGATATGCCAGCGAACGGAAGGTTGGCAATTTTAATCGCCGTGGTTTCTCAACCGGTCGAGCAGAAAGTCGACGGGCTGCTAATGCCGCAACAACTCAGGGGACCGGAAATCGTTGGGGTTTGGAACAAAGGCAGGATGCTGCCCACAAAGGAATGTCCACAATTCTAGGAATAATAACAAAACTGGGACTAATTACGGCGAAATTTTAGAATGTAACATGGTACAATCACAATTTGCATTCATTCAACAGGGAATACCGCTCAAATTATGTGGTCGTTTACCGGTCGTGGCAACACATGTATAGCGGCCCACCGTTGCCACCGATTGTCTTTTAATGCAGTACGAGCCCGAGTATATTGATGGTATTTAGCCACTGCGAACTCGTTTCCAAAATAAATATAAATGCATGTACACAATTTTCCGGGAAAATATGCGGTTACTCCTAGAGCACGATCAGGGTATCCGCAACGAGAGTTCTCCCTCCTACCCGAGACTGCTGCAGGTGAGCCGAAATACAAGCATTGATAGCTCTTTAAAACTATGGGACCAATATCACCAGTTTCTAGGTCTCCTAGGATCGACTGTCCAAGCGCCTTGACCGGAGGAGGAGGCCTGGGGTGTACGCGCCTTGCTTCAAGGCGTGGCTCAGAACAAGCCCTTTTGCTCAATCACGGCTTGTTTGCAGTTTGAATGCAATTCTTGGTTCCTAAAATCCGTGAGTCATAGGAAAAAGATAGTCAGTGACTAACTTATCATTGAGTGCTGGGGGGTAGAAGAAAGCCCTACCAATACCAACTGATAAAGTCCATGATTATTGCAAGACAATAATGGTCACAAGGCAAACATGCGCAGCGGAGTTGTACATGTAAAGAGGAGTGCATCGCTCAGCGTCGTTCTCTAGCATGATGACTGCTACATGCTAATGCAACATGGAGGAACTATCTCTAGAGCAGCAAGCTCGCCAATATCCACTAATGGGTCTAGGTTTTGCTATATATGTCAACCGTCACTCGTTTGTTGAGGGTAATTAAGGCACTACCATATACACAAGTGTAAGTGTTCCGTAGTTACACGTGCTCAGAAAATCTGCAGGTGCCCCGACAAATTTAGAGGCCGTCTGTGTTCAATTGTACTCTGCGGCGATTCAAGCGGAGAACGACTACATTGGAAAGTCGTATTATGGTGGCGTTGACATTGCTTGCCACAAACAATGCATCAAAATACAGTTATCTATAAAACCGAGAAAAAGCTCGTTGTTGGCAATCCAGTGCTACGCAGTCAGGTGCCCCGAAAAATAAAGAGGCAGTCTCTGTTGAGTTGTACTTTGCAGCCATCGAAGCTGACGAAGACTGTGTTGGAGAATAGATGATGTGGCGCCCTTGACATCTTGGCCACCAACCATGCAATTAAATACAGTTAAATATAAAAGCGAGAAAAAGCTCGCGGTTGGCAATCCAATGCTAAGCAACTTTTTAGGGTGCATCCTCAGCTGAGGCATCAGTTTCTGCAGGCACATTTCCAGGACACCCGGTGACAATGTTCCAGGCACAAGTAACTTTATCTCTTGAAAAGAGCAAATGAATATACTGCTCCTAGGCACACGGTATTGACGGGCAGTAAGTGCACAGAAGCGTGTTAGGGGAGTAGATGCGCTACTACTGACTCGGCGACGAAGACCTGTCTGGAAGACAAACTCACCGTTCGTCGGCTCCGCAGCAACTGAGGGAATGATGCATCAGACACACACACAGCAACCAACCAGTGTATAATTGCCCTTGAGTCAACTACGTGAACATGAAGTCACCTATCTCCGGCCACGCTTCCGAAGCTAAAGCTGTGTGTAGGGCATTCAATCGAGCGCAAACATTCGCGTTTGTGCAACTAGTCAGATCGTCGTAGCCAAATACATACATCACACTCCTCTCCCTAGCAGAACGGTAACCCAGTACACTACGCTACCCTTTAAGTACTAGAATGGCGTGACCGTTCGTTTGCCATGCTATTGTGGGCTCGAAAATACGTTTATAGTGCCAGGCTCACCCGAGGGAAGCACGCGCGGTTGATGTCGAACAGAAGCTACGAATACAAGCAACGAGACGGCGCATACGCATACCCAATTCCACATATAATGGAACGAGTCAGCTAACCGTACTCAGATATATGGTAAAGCACCATCCTCTCCCTAGCAGAAAGGTAACCCTCTACACTACGCGCAGGCTGCCCCGTAAGTGCTGCAGAGACTTTACCGTTCCTTTGCAAATGCGATAATGGGCTCGGCATAGACGTTTACGGTGCCAAGCTCACCTGATGCAGGCATGCTTGGTTGACGTCGAACAGAAACTGCGAAAACAAGCAACGAGATGGCACATACACATGCAATTCTTCACACTATCGCCAGCCCCAGCTAACTTTACTGACATACACAGCAAAACACCGCTCTCTCCCTAGCAGACTGGTAACCCTCTACAGTATGCGCAGATTCCCCCACAAGTGCTACAGGTACTTAACCGTTCGTTTGCCATGCGATAATTGTCTCGGCAAATACGATTATAGTTCCAGGCTCACCGGAGGGAAGCACGTTCGGTTGACGTCGCATAGGAGCTGCGACAAGCAACAAGATGGCACATGCACGTACGTCATCCCACGCATAATCACACGGTCTCGCTAACCTTACTGACATACACGGCAAAACACCATTCTCTCCCTAGCAGAAAGGTAACCCTCTACAGTATGCGCAGGTTTCCCCGTAAGTGCCACACGGACTTAACACCGTTCGTTTGCCATTCGATAATGGACTCGGCAGAGACGTTTACGGTGCCAGGCTCACCTGACGCAGGCATGCTTAGTTGGCGTCGAACAGAAGCTGCGAAAACACGCAACGAGATGGCACATGCACACATACAATTCTTCACATTATTGTCCGCCCCAGCTAACTTTACTGACATACACAGCAAAACACCATTCTCTCCCTAGAAGACCGGTAACCCTCTACAGTATGCGCAGGTTCCCCCGTAAGTGCTACAGGGACTTAACACCGTTCGTTTGCCATGCAACAATTGTCTCGGCAAATACGTTTATGGTGCCAGACTCACCTGAGGTCCGTATCATCGGTCGATGTCGCCAAGCAGCTGCGAAAACAAGCAACAAGACTGCACGTATACACATGCCGTACCTCAAAAGTGCTTGACTGCTATATAGCAAACACCGTCTCCTCAAAACCAGGTAAAGCCATAGATGGGAAAAGATGCTCCGAATGGGAATTCGAACACCCGAAGTTAGCAAACAAGGTAGCAGAGCAGTAGCAACACTGGAAAAAAGTCTGCTGTGAGGTGTATGGGAGCCGCTACTGTCGAGCAGATGTCCTCTTGGACGGGCGGCATGAAAGACAACATTCACAGTAGAATTCGAGTGTGGTATGTGAGAATCAGGAATGAATAACTTATTATACAGAACAGCTTCTCTGTAGCATTCCACGCACCTGACCCTGACTCTGGGAGCACACCGCCAACCCCTGCAAGGACAATCATAGAGGCGCCACGCAAAACTCCCACAGGAAACTTGGAATATGAATTTCGTGCGCTCTAGTGTGGGCCCCCGCCACCCCTAAAAGCGTTTCTGCACTGCTCATTGGCGGTGCGCCAGCGAATTGGCCTACACACAGCTAGATGGCAGCGATGGCGCTGCTTTAATCTGCTGAAACAGCGAGGCCGAGTCTGGACGCCCAGATGCATCTCGGATGTACCGGCATACCATGCTACTCAAAAGTACTAAAACGCGACACGAATGTGCAGTTTTGCCAAGGCCGGTGTTTTTTGCAAAATCAGCGTTGGTCACATTTGCAGACGGGCAGGCTCCAGTGCCATCATGCACAGGCCGGCCTAACCAAAATTCCACCACCAGCAACTAGGCAAAGCTTGCCTTGCATGCCCGAAATGCTTGGCCTCGAAAGGTGCACGCTGATCAAGATGCCACAGAATAATCTAGAAACAATTGCAACCACTATCTTGCATTGGCCAACTACTAACTGGACAACTGCTACAAGGCCAGTTATCACCCTGGTATCGGTATCTGTGGTGGTACGTGCGGCATTATAGCCGCATGTGTTCGCGGGAGGCGCGCGTTTAATAAAAGCTTGGGAGGCGCAAAGGAAGACAGTCGCAGCTATAAAGAAAATTGGCATTCCAGGCAGCTATTAAATCAAACTATCAAAACGTTTGCAGTAGCTAGCGAGGAATACTCCGATTCTGGACAAAAATATATGCCATGCTCGGGCCCAACATACAAGTAGACGCTAACATCCATCGATGTTTTGGAGGCACACATCGTCAACGAGACGACACTTATTTACATACTGCTCTCAGAAACAGCACCCCTACGAAGGCTGAACATTACCAACTCCAGGCCACGAACATGTAAGAGGTATTTAACTATTCCATACGTGAAGCAGTTAATTATTCTCTTGTGCCACGCTCACCCCGACCTGAAGATTCCAGCTGCCCAGTGAAGCCCTTGATGAATAAAGCACCCGAAAGCATAAAACATTCGAAGTAAAAGGTTTCCGACTCCCCAACAGTGCACTTGAGAGTAGCATTAACGTAGGCCTGATGCGCCCGCCTGATGAAGAAAGGGCGTTGTCTACACACGTG